TCTGTCCCCCTCCCTTCCTCTCTGTAAAAAAAAAAAAAAAAAAAAAAAAAAAAAATATATATATATATATATATATATATATATATATTATTGAGTTTTTACAGAATGGAAGGGAGAGGGATAGAGAGCTAGAAACATTAATGAGAGAGAAACATCGACCCTCTCCTGGGCCTCGTTCTGTTTGGGGACATGCTCAGTGGGATTTTTATTAACACTCTGGCCTGATCAGAGGAATAATCAAGTGTGAGTATTCTCATCAATTACCCCCAGATGGAAACTCCTGCAGAAAAACTTCACTCACATCAAAAAAGCTGGTTACAGCTATACAAACACATGTAAAATCAAAGAAATGTGTTTGGGGTTTTTTGTTTGTTTAATGTAGTACATGAATAACACCAAAGAGAAGTTCTGGCAAATTCAATTATCAACTTGGCGAAACAGAATTTAATATAACATTCTAGCAGTTGATCAGACAGGGGGGAAAAAACTGGCACAAAGATGTTCATTATTTTGCCCTAGCCCCGTGGTCGGCAAACTGCGACTCGAGAGCCACATGCGGCTCTCTGGTCCCTGGAGTGTGGCTCTTCCACAAAACACCACGGCCTGGGTGAGTCTGTGTTGAAGAAGTGGCGTTAGAAGAAGTTTAAGTTTAAAAAATGTGGCTCTCCAAAGAAATTTCAATGGTTGTGCTGTTGATATTTGGCTCTGTTGACTAATGAGTTTGCCGACCACTGCCCCAGCCGGTGTGGCTCAGTGGATAGAGCGTTGCCCTGTGGACTGAAGGGCCCCGGGTTTGATTCCAGTAAAGGGCACGTACCTTGGTTGTAGCCTCCTCTGGCCTATTCCTGGTCAGGGCAGGTGCAGGAGGCAATCAATCTACCTGTTCCTCTCACATCGATGTTTCTCTCTGACTTCCCTCTTCCACTCTCTAAAAATCAATGAAAAAATAGCCTTGGGTGAGGATTAAAAAAAAAAAAAAAAAGTGTTCATTATTTTGACTTCTAGTTAAAACCAGTTTGGCTCAGTGGATGGAGCGTCAGCCTGTGGAGTAAGGGGTCCTGGGTTCGATTCCAGTCAAGGACATGTGCCTTGGTTGCGGGCACATCTCCAGTAGGGGGTGTGCAGGAGGCAGCTGATCGATGATTCTCTCTCATCGATGTTTCTAACTCTCTAACACCCTCTCTTTCTGTTAAAAAAAAAAAAAAAATCAATAAAATATATTTCTTAAAAAACAAACAAAAAAACCGGCTTGAGCATGACATAGAAAGAGAAAGCTCTGGACAGAACTCAGAGACCTGACCTTGATTCCAGTCTTTGTGAGACCAGGCAGCTCAAGGCTCAGTTTTCCTCATCTGTAAAATGGGTGTGATACCATCGCTCAGAGTCATTGTAGAGCCTAAATGAGGGCCCGGACTAGCCCAGTCCTCCACTCGGAGATGAGTGCTCAGAAATGGCCTCTCTCTCTCTGACACCTAAGTCTGGGTTCCCCAACTCTAACGTGGTTTGATCTATTGCCAAGGGACCCGAGTCCCCTCGGGGAGAATTAGTCACCCACCAATTTAGGGCAAAGAAGAGCATGAGTCACCTTTGTTTTTTCAGCTCTCTCCCTAAACCAACCCAGCAACCATCTGTCCTTGCTCATGTGAACTCGTTTGTGTGTGTATGGTGGGAGGGGGGGGGGTCTAGATTCTCCCTTGCAGTCTGTCCCAGGGGCAGTTCTGTTAGCACAGCCAGGCGCTGATTACAAATAGGGTCAGGCCGAAACCGCTTTGGCTCAGTGGATAGAGCATCGGTCTGCAGACTGAAAGGTCCCAGGTTCGATTCCAGTCAAGGGCATGTACCTTGGTTGCGTGCACATCCCCGGTAGGGGGTGTGCAGGAGGCAGCTGGTCGATGTCTCTCTCTCTCTCTCTCTCTCATCAATGTTTCTAGCTCTCTATCCCTCTCCCTTCCTCTCTGTGGAAAATCAGTAATTTATAATTTTTTAAAAATAGGTTCAGAAGACAAGGGCAGGCTGGCTCTGCATTGTGCTGTGGTCTAGCTGTTTTCTTAGTGGCAAGCATTGACTAACCACTGGTCCCAGTAGACCGTGACAGAACCCCATACGGTTAGTAAAGTAGAAGACACGCCTCCGCTTTCAGAGAATTAGGGATAAACAAGCCCAGATGCTAACTCTAAGAATAGCTAAAAAAAACAACAAACACATACACACACACACACACACACACACACACGTGCACGCACACACGTGAAGTACATGCAAATTAGCGTAGTAAAAACAGCATTGAGCCCTAACTGGTTTGGCTCAGTGGATAGAGCATCGGCCTGCGGACTGAAAGGTCCCGGGTTTGATTCCGGTCAGGTGCATGTACCTTGGTTGCGGGCACATCCCCAGTAGTGAATCTGAAAATACGAAGATATACTGACAAAATAATATGCACCCTAACAATGTGAATTGGGCTGTAGCATGATTGGAGTCTGGTTACTGTGTTCTTTCAGTAAATAAAATTCAGTCTGAGATAAAATGGATGATATGTACAGGCACGCGTGCATGCGTGTATATGTGTGTGTGTGTGTGTGTGTGTGTGTGTGTGTGTCTAAGCAACTGCCTTGAGATCCCCTGAGACCTCAGTTCAGCGGTGCACAGTGGAAGTTAAACAACCTTTAATTTTATGACAATTACCACCTACTGATCAAACACTGCTTTTTAATTGACATCTCAATAACACACCGGGGTTTACAAAATTGAAACTGTGGACAGTATTCGCTGTGCTGGGGCTTTTTGGTGTGCTTTTATTGCTTATGTAACGCATCCACGTACCAAAAAAGTTGCAAAACAAAAAACCAGAATCGGTGCCCGGGCACCTGGTTTAGTTAAGGGAGGAAATATGGGCCCAAACCATGACCAACTTAGAAACATATAAAAACACACAAGCACTTAAGAGATGCCACTGAAGCCGGGACCGGTTTGGCTCAGTGGATAGAGCGTCGGCTTGGGGACTGAAGGGTCCCGGGTTCGATTCCGGTCAAGGGCATGTACCTTGGTTGCGGGCATATCCCCAGTAGGGGGTGTGCAAGAGGCAGCTGATCGATGACTCTCTCTCATCGATGTTTCTAACTCTATCCCTCTCCCTTCCTCTCTGTAAAAAATCAATAAAATATATATATATATATATATATATATATATATATATATATTTTTTTTTTTTTTTTAAGAGATGCTACTAAAAAGGTCCATGGACGAAATGCTTTACTCTAACTACCTGCATGATACAGCTGCCAAGACCCACCTATTCCTGTCCCCACAAGCCGTCTGTCCCCACGGGACCAGGGGCCTCCCCCCTCTGCAGGAGTGCAGGCTGCCTGCGACCGGTTTGGGCTCGCAGAGTGCAGTGGAAGGAATGTGGTCAGATGTAGGCCTGGCCTTTTTCAGGCTGGAGGCCAGGTGGCTTCTGGTACCTCCCGGACCTGGCACCACGCTGAAGAGAGTCCAGGACTCATTCCCTGAGGTGATAAGGAGTGGGCCTAGAGCAGAGATCGGCAAACTCATTAGTCAATAGAGCCAAATATCAATCGATGAGAGAGAAACATCGATCAGCTGCCTTTTGCACACCCCCACTGGGGATGTGCCCGCAACCGAGGTGCATGCCCTTGACAGGTAATCGAACCTGGGAGTCCACAGGCTGATGCTCTATCCACTGAGCCAAACCGGCCAGCCATCACGCTCTTGCTGCAGAAGAGAAACCAATAGCCATTTCAGTCAACGGGATCCTCTTGCTCTGTGGTTGTGAAATGTAGTAAACATTTCCTAAAAGCAACCCAGAGTGTCTCGTTTTCCCAGTAATTAGCTTGTGGGTTTTGAGTTTTCTACCCAAGGACCAGTCACTCCCAAGTTTTCACGAAGGACGCTTGTGAAGGTGGCGTCATGCCTTGCGTAGGCTAACCAGCCTTGATCCTCCAACAGTTCAACAAATATTTAAACATTGCTCAGCCCTTCCAGCGCATTCTGTGAGGCCTACGTTGCCCTCCCAGCCCCGACACACGCCCAGCGCACTCACAGGCTCTCAGAAGAGTTTGCAGCCCTTCCCAGTGTAACGGAGCAGGTCTGGCGAAAGGAGTAGCCACTGCAGCCGTGGACTGTCGTGTAGGGGAAGGGGGAAGAAGTGAGAATTAGCAGAAACCGGTGTTGCTCAGTGGGTAGAGCATCAGCCTGCCGGACTTAAGGGTCCTGGGTTCGATTCCGGTCAAGGGCATGTTCCTTGGTTGCAGGCAAACCCAGTAGGGGGTGTGCAGGAGGCAGCTGATCGATGTCCCTCTCTCATCGATGTTTCTAACTCTCTATCCCTCTCCCTTCCTTCCTCTCTGTAAAAAAATCAATAAAATATGTTTTTTAAAAAAAAAAGTGAGCATTAGTGAGAGTCGGCTCTTTGCCACTGCTTTATATTCGTTCACTCATTTGATGAGGCTGCCCTGCCAGGTAGCGTTTGTTTATAATGTATCACTTACCTTCTTTTTCTTCTACGTTACGGAAATAACCTGTGTTGAATTCCTGAACACCCTAAATTTGAAATCCCGTCCAGATAAGCACGCCCTGGCTGATTGCTGAAGTTAATCTGATACAGGATGTATTAGTAAATGGGGGGAAAGGCCAAAACCAGTTTGGCTCAGTGGTAGAGTGTCGGTCTGTGGGACTGAAAGGTCCCAGGTTCGATTCCGGTCAAGGGGCATGTACGTTGGTTGCGGGCACATCGCCGGTAGGGGGTGGGCAAGAGGCAGCTGGTCGATGTTTCTCTCTCATCGACGTTTCTCTCTTATCTCTCTTCCTCTCTGTACAAAATCAATAAAATATATATTTTTTTTTTAAATCTCATTTAGGTTTAGCGTACAGAATTTGTCAGGAAACATCTTAAATAGCTTTAAAGACCTTTGCGCAAAGGTTTTTGAGGGAGCGTTTTTCTTGGAATGGGGAGAACACTGACCTCTCGTCTCCTTCTTTCTTAGATACATCCCGCCACTGATCTGGGGGAAAAGCGGACACATCCAAACAGCTCTGTACGGGAAGATGGGCCGGGTGAGGTCGCCACACCCGTACGGGCACCGAAAGTTCATCACCATGTCCGATGGCGCCACTTCGACCTTCGACCTCTTCGAGCCCATGGCTGAGCATTGTGTTGGAGGTGAGCGAGGATAAGGCGTATGATTGGGCCATCCCTCGGAGAAGGAGCACTAGTCAGCGAGGGAGCACAGTGTGCACGCACATCCTCCTTCCCGCTCTTACCAGGCCTCGTAAGAAATCTGCTGAGATACATCACATAGGAGCGCCTGACAAGGCTTATGTCCGCCTGAGGCCGGTCACCATGCACAGGCGTTGTCCAATGCAGTTTCTAATCCTCTCGAGAGAGACAGGAGCTCCATGCAAAGGGGTGAGGGAGAGCTCGGAGCTCAGGCATCTAGCTTAATGACAGCAGCAGAAGCCAAGCTTTATATATCCCATGTAATAAAAGCCTAATAATGCTAATTGTCTGTTCAACCAATCAAAGTGTAATATGCTAATGATATGCCAAGGCCACTCAAACTGCTCACTATGATGTGCGCTGACCACCAGGGGGCAGATGCTCAATGCAGGAGCCAGGCTCATGGCTGGAGAGCACAGAGGTGGTGGCGGGCCTAAGCCGTCAGTCGGACATCCCCTCGGGCTCCGGGACTGCGAAAGGGTGCAGGCCGGGCTGAGGGACTCCCCCCACACACACACCCATTGCATGAATTTTGTGCACCGGGCCCTCTAGAACTATCATATCATTTAATTCTCAGCAAGTGGGTGCCTTATTGTCCCTACGTTACTGATGACAGAGCTGAAAGCTTAGAGATGCAATGTAGGCTGGTTGTGTTGGTTGCATAGCAGCAGATAAAGACTCTCAGGTGCCCTCTTAGGTTTCCATGCACAAAAAAGAGACATTAAGGTCAGTATATATCTGGCAGGGGGCTGGGATTCCTATTTTTCACAGATTCCTCTTATTTCCATTGTCTGTCCAGCCTGCACAGTGAATACTCATAAAATGCTTCACAAATGAAAGCTTAGAGGAAGTGGAGTTAGATGGCAGCCCCATCTGAATGCCATTCCGACCGGAAGAGAACACGTCTCTTGAATTCTGTAGTGTGCAGAGGCACCCAGTTTTGTTTTATAAAAGCTCGGTCAATATTTATGGGTGGCCTGGCAGGCGTGGCTCAGTGGTTGAGAGTGAACCTATGAACCAGGAGGTCACGGTTCGATTCCCGGTCAGGGCACACGCCCGGGTTGTGAGATCGATCCCCAGTAGGGGGCGTGCAGGAGGCAGCCGATCCATGATTCTCATCCTGGATGTTTCTCTTTCTTTCTCCCTTCCTTTCTGAAAACAATCAAAATATATGTTTTTTAAATTTATGGGTGGATTAAACATACTCTAACTCTCAGTTACTTAAAGTAAAAGAACTGCTGAGCCGAAACCAGTTTGGCACAGTGGTAGAGCGTTGGTCTGCAGACTGAAAGGTCCCGGGTTCGATTCCGGTTAAGGACATGTACATTGGTTGTGGGCACATCCCTGGTGGGGGGTGTGCAGGAGGCAGCTGGTTGATGTTTCTCTCTCATCGACGTTTCTGGCTCTCTATCTCTCTCCCTTCCTGTCTGTAAAAAAAACAATAAAATATATTAAAAAGAAAAAAAAAGAACTGCTGAGTAGCTATTGACAAAGGGTTACTTTATGTTCCCTCTGTCTGAATGCTTGTCACCTGACTATCACGTGACTGCCTCCTTTTGTCATCAGGTCTCAGCTCCGATGCCCCCTCCTCAGAGGCAGAGTACCCCCTCTCCCCCGCTCCTAAGAAGTGTTTCCTTCGCAGGAAATCCATCATGGCTCCCAGTTTTGTGCTTGAGGGTACCTGCCACACTCTAAACTTATTTGTGTGCTTGTTGAGTATCTGTCTGCTGGAATGGAAGACTCTCCAGAGTCCAGACGACAGATTCCCAATAGACAGTCCGGAAAGAATGAATAAATGATAGGCGAGGAGTTCACCTCGTGTTTATAAGTCTCCTGGCTGATCTTTCAAATATTTATGTCTCTGCCATGCCCAGTTACACAGCCCTAGTGGGGGGGTGTGCAGGAGGCAGCTGCTCGATGTTTCTCTCTCATTGATGTTTCTAACTCTCTATCTCTCTCCCTTCCTCTCTGTAAAAAAAAAAAAAAATCAATAAAATATATATATTTTTTTTTTTTAAAAGGTAAGAGGCAGCTCTAGGTAATAATATCTGTCCTAGAAGGGACAGATATTATTTCCCAGAGAATTGAAAAAAAGGATGTATATTCAAGTTCCTCCTGCTGTTTTCTAAGCCAGTATGTATAACCATGTCCTGATTTATTGTGATGCTCATTATTTATGGATATCCCGGGATCTCTTTCGCCCCCTCAGATGACATCACCATGGTCATCTGTCCCGGGATCGCCAACCACAGCGAGAAGCAGTACATCCGAACCTTTGTGGACTACGCCCAGAAAAACGGCTACCGGTGCGCTGTGCTCAACCACCTGGGCGCCCTGCCCAACATCGAGCTGACCTCGCCACGCATGTTCACCTACGGTAAGCGGGGGGCATGACCGCGAGGGGTCCCCAGTCCCTGTCCCCCCTGCGAGGGCGCTGTGACTCCCGCCTGCCTCTCCTCGGTTTAGAATTTGTGCCAGTCTTCAAGAGACGGTGGGACAGCCGAAACCTGTGTGGCTCAGTGGATAGAGCGTCGGCCCTCAGACCGAAGGGTCCCGGGTTCGATTCCGGTCAAGGGCATGGACCTTGGTTGCGGGCACATCCCCAGTAGGAAGTGTGCAGGAGGAGCCGATCGATGATTCTCTCTCATCGATGTTTCTAACACTCTACCCCTCTCTCTTCCTCTCTGTAAAAATATCAATAAAATATAAAAATAAAAATAAAAAAGAGAGATGGTGGCACACACAGACGGGCCCTGAAACCACCCCCATGTCACAGGGGCAGAAACAGAAGCTCACGGGGGAAATCGGCTTTTGTTTCTGCACCAAACGTCATGGTTAATTTTAAAAAATATATTTTTATTGACTTCAGAGAGGAAGGGAGAGGGAGAGAGAAATAGAAACATCAATAAGGAGAGAGAATCATGGATTGGCTGCCTTCTTACTGGGGATCAAGCCCACAACCCGGATATGTGCCCTTGACTGGAATGGAACCCTGGACCCTTCAGTCCACAGGCCGATGCTCTATCCACTGAGCCACACCAGCTAGGGCCTAATCTCTTCTTAAAAAGACACCAGTCCTATTGGGCGAGGGCCCACGCTGACAACCCCATTTTAGCTTCATCATCTCAAAGGCCCTTTCTCCAATGCGTTCGCATTCTGAGGTCTTGGTGTGCTCTCACTCCACATGATTCAGACGCCCCTCTTACCCAGCTAACATTGGTGACACACCCATGTGCCAGGCCCAGGCCTGGTGTGCGGGACACAGCCATGACTCAAAGTCTCCAGCCACAAGGAACCGCCCATCTCCATGTCCGTGCACCGGAACCTACTTAGTCATGCTAGTGGAATTGGAAATAGTGGCTTCTGCTGCAGACTGAAAGGTCCCAGGTTCGATTCCGGTCAAGGGCATGTACCTTGGTTGTGGGCACATCCCCAGTAGGAGGTGTGCAAGAGGCAGCTGATGGATGTTTCTCTCTCATCGATGTTTCTAACTCTCTATCCCTCTCTCTTCCTCTCTGTAAAAAGTCAATAAAAAATATATTTTTTTGAAAAAGAAATAGTGGCTTCAGGCAGCCTTACGTTCGCCTTTGTGTAGGGGGAGCTTGAAAACACAGGACGTTCCTCTCCCCAGCAGGTCGCCCCTCCGAGGTGGCCCTGTCGCCCTCATCTCGCTGGGGCCAGGTTAGTGTCTCCTATTTCATCTCGGCTTTTAAGAAGCTGCAGCAAGATTAGAGACCGAAAGCTTGTTACTGGTGCTAATCCCACCGGGATTAGGTACCTAGGACCTCATTAAAACCCTCCCGATCTTAAAAAAACAAATCGCCGAGGCTCTTAGTGACCGGGCCCGGGGAGGGGCCCCAGACACAGAGGCTTTGGTGACTGGCATCAGGCGGAGATCCCGGGAGGACCCAGATCCTCCCAGAAGGCCGGCCGGGCCTGGCGCTGGGCAGACACCACGTCCTTGCCTGTCCCTGGCCGGGGAGAGAGGCAGCGCCTCACAGAACGCCGCCAGCTTGTCCGGCATCAGGCAGGCTGGCCCTCCATCCAGATCACACCGTTTGCATTTAATTACACCGCGCCTCCCAAAGTGCCAGGCCAATTAGCTGTAATCGCTCCTCAGCAGCTGGCAGACCTGGGGCTGGTACCCGCCCCAGTGCCTTCCGAACAGCTGCTCGGGGTCCCAAATAATTAGTCTCAGACCCGAGGAAAGGAAGATGTGTCTGAAAGGAATCAGACGGCGAGAAAGCAAACTTTAATTTAAAAGTTTATTTTAAGCCAAAACCGGTGTGGCTCAGTGGATAGAGCGTCGGCCCTCAGACCGAAGGGTCCCGGGTTCGATTCCGGTCAAGGGCATGGACCTTGGTTGCGGGCTCATCCCCGGTGGGAGGTGTGCAGGAGGCAGCTGATGGATGTTTCTCTCTCATCGATGTTTCTAACTCTATATTCCTCTCTCTCTCTACCTCTCTTTAAAAAAAAATCAATAAAATATATTTTAAAAATAATAATAAAATAAAAAATTAATTTTAAAATAATTTTGTTATTTATTTTTTAATAGCCAGTGCAGAAGTCCGAGGACAGTGAGTAAAAACTATGTCCTGTCCCACTCTAGTCCGCCGCCTCCTCCCCAGAAAAGTAATGACTGCTACAGCTTTTCAGCGATTATTCAATCAGATGTGGGTGCACATATATTCCCCAGAGAGCCCAAGTACACACATGAGATGGTGCCAGTGCTCCTCTGCCCTTGTTTCTGCCCCTCAGTGAGATGGCACAGAGTTGTTCCATGTCAGCACGTCAGACTCCGTGTCATCCTTTTCCATAGCAATTTATTTATTTATTAAATATTTTATTAATTTTTTACAGAGAGGAAAGGAGAGGAACAGAGAGCTAGAAACACCGATGAGAGAGAAACACCCATCAGCTGCCTCCTGCACCCCCCCCCCCCCACTGGGGATGTGCCCGCAACCAAGGTCCATGCCCTTGACCGGAATCGAACCTGAGACCCTTCAGTCCGCAGGCCGACGCTCTATCCACTGAGCCACACCGGTTAAGGGCTGTCTGTCTCTCTTTGCACACACACACACACACACACACACACACACTTCCCTCTGTTAATATCTCGGCATCTGATTAGCAACCCCTCCCCCCCGTGTCACGTCTCCTCCCATCTTTGTCGCGCCCGACATGATGACAGGCCCTCACCTTTCTGCCCACCCACAGGCTGCACCTGGGAATTCGGAGCCATGGTCAACTACATCAAGAAAACATACCCCCTGACCCAGCTGGTGGTCGTGGGCTTCAGCCTGGGCGGTAACATCGTGTGCAAATACCTGGGGGAGACGCAGGCGAACCAAGACAAGGTGCTGTGCTGCGTGAGCGTGTGCCAGGGGTACAGCGCGCTGAGGTGAGCGCCCCCGCCCCTGCCCCGAGCCCCCCCACCCCCGTCTCCCCTCGGCACGTGTGTGCTGAGGGTCCCCCCCACCCCCGTGCACCTCACGCCGCTTTGCAAAGACCCCGGGAGAGGCTGCAGGCGGAGCAGGGGTTTCTGGATCGCTGCTTGCACGTCACACACAGGAGTGGCCCTTCAGCCTTGGGAAGGAGCAGCTAGCTGTATTTGGACCAGATCTGTAGCTGAGCCGGGCAAAGCTCCCACCCAGCGGCCATTTCCCTGTGGAGTCTGCAGAAAGCCTTCCTCTGTTTGTGCTGCAGGAGTTTTTTGCAGGCGCCGGGGGGAGGGAAGGGGTGAGGGAGGGTAGAAAAGACACAGAGGATGGTGGGCTAACCAGAGTTTGCCTTACGACCCTACATTTCAGCGATCGGCAAACTCATCAGTCCACAGAGCCAAATACCAACAGCACAACGATTGACATTTCTTTGGAGAGCCGAAAACCGACTCCTCTGCCTGTGTGTTTTCCAACGAACAAAATTGGCAGGCAGCCTTTTTTTTCCCCATTTTGCGACAGTAGCGCCATCTGCTGGTGGCAAGAGCACCTGGTCCGCACATTTGGCAAACCAAGGCGTTGGATTTGAGGCCAGGAAGGTTTAGGAAGCTGCCAGAGGAGAGAGGGGGAGAAGGGGGGCGGGGGGTGGGGGTGGGGAGATGAGCAAAATGGTGGAGGGAATAAGTACCAGCATGCAATTATAAACAAGTAATCATAGCCGAAACCGGTTTGGCTCAGCGGTAGAGCGTCGGTCTGCGGACTGAAGGGTCCCAGGTTCGATTCCGGTCAAGGACATGTACATTGGTTGTGGGCACATCCCCAGTGGGGGGTGTGCAGGAGGCAGCTGGTCGATGTTTCTCTCTCATCGGCGTTTCTAGCTCTCTATCCCTCTCTCCTCCTCTCTGTAAAAAATCAATAAAATATATTTTTTTTTTTAAAAAAACAAGTAATCATAAAAACAAATAAAACAAGTAATCATGAGGATGGAAGCACAGGAAATATGGTCAGCACTGTCCTACTAGCTCTGTCGGGTGACAGACTTATTGCAGCATCGCACAGTAAGGTGTATAAATGTCAAGTAACTGCTGTACACCTGAATCTCGTATAATGTTGTATGTCAACTATGCTTTAATTTACTAAATGTGTATTTTTATTGATTTCACAGAGGAAGGGACAGAGAGAGAACATTAATGATGAGAGAGAATCATGGATCGGCTGCCTCCTGCACGCCCCCCCACTTTGGATCAAGCCCACAACCTGGGCATGCGCCCTGACTGGGAATCAAAGCGTAACCTCCAGGTTCACAGATCAATGCTCAATCCCTGAGCCATGCCAGCCGGGCAACTATACTGTAATTTCTTACAAAAAGATGTTTTAAAAATATGAAGCTAGGCCGAGAACCGGTTTGGCTCAGTGGATAGAGCATCAGCCTGCAGACTGAAAGGTCAAGGGCGTGTACCTTGCTTGCGGGCACATCCCCAGTGGGGGGTATGCAGGAGGCAGCTGATCGATGCTTCTCTCTGATTGATGTTTCTCACTCTCTATCCCTCTCCCTTCCTCTCTGTAAAAAAATCAATAAAATATATTTTTTTTAAAAAGAGAGGCAACTTTGCCGAGGCCGGTTTGGCTCAGTGGTAGAGCGTCGGCCTGCGGACTGAAATGTCCCAGGTTCGATTCTGGTCTAGGGGCATGTACCTTGGTTGCAGGCACATCCCCGGTGGGGGGTGTGGAAGAGGCAGCTGGTCGATGTTTCTCTCTCATCTACGTTTCTAGCTCTCTATCTCTCTCCCTTCCTCTCTGTAAAAAATTCAATAAAATATATATATATATTTTTTTTTTTAAAAGAGAGGCAACTTTATCCTAAGGAACACAGAACACTAAGGCTAAGGTCAGGGTGAGTGCCAGCGAAGCCCCCTCCCAAGGCAGGGAGAGCTGCTCTCTGCAGGCACTCATCAGTGGCAGGAGCCGCCCAGCCTGCTGCCCTGCACCTGCCCCCCCCCCGCCCCGTTTCCTCTCCAGCACGCACCCCACCCCCCTCCTGTGGTCCTTCCAGGGCCCAGGAGACCTTCATGCAGTGGGACCAGTGCCGCCGCTTCTACAACTTCCTCATGGCCGACAACATGAAGAAGATCATCCTCTCGCACAGGTGCGTCCCCTCCCCTCGGGCGGGACGGGCCTTCCTCGGCTCATTGGGGCGGCGCCGAGGGCCAGAGCTCCAGTTCTCGGTGGGGGGAACGTGACGCAGGAGGAGACGCAGAGAATCCAAGAGGAGGGACGGCGCCCACACCTTTCCTCCCCAAGCCCAGGCCGTCCCGGGGGCAGCTGGTTCATGCTCAGGAACCTCTCTCTCTCTCTCTCTCTCCCCGTAGGACACTTTGTGTTTGGGGTCTTGGGCACCTGACCGAGCAGCAGCGGGGCAGGAGCCCCCTGGTGGTCATTGCACATCATACTCCACTGGTTGATGGGTGCTTAGGCTTTTATATATATAGGTTGATTTCAGAGGGGAAGGAAGAGATAGAAACGTCGATGGTGACGCCTGGTACCCCCCCTGTGGTGTCAGATCTCCGTGCTCCCCTGGCCCCTCCTGCTCTGAAGCCCCCAGGCGGTCAGCCCTGGCCGGTCAGAACAGGCCCACCGTGCGGGAGCTCTCAGGAACATGAGTGGGACTCCTCGTTATGATTGTCATCTTCATTGCGGGCACATCCCCGGGAGGGGGGGGCGTGCGGGAGGCAGCTGATGGATGTTTCTAACCCTCTATCCCAGTGCGCGTGGGATTCGCCTAGTCTCTCACCCGCGTGTCCTCCTGTTTGCCTCGTCCTCCCTCTAGACAAGCGCTGTTCGGGGACCACGTGAAGAAGCCCCAGACTCTGGAGGACTCGGACCTGAGCCGCCTCCACATGGCCACGTCCCTGATGCAGATCGACGACAACGTGATGAGGTGGGTCCACGCACGCGCGCGCTCGGGAGCCGGGGCCGGGCAGGTTACACAGCGGGTCACTCTGCCGCGAAGGCTGTTGTAAAGAAAGTTCTAGTACCTGCCTTGGGATCTCAGTTTCTTAGTGCCTGGTGACATCCGGCTTTACGCTGCCTCGGAAGGTGTGACATCTGCCAAGAGTCACCATCGATGACTCTTTTCTTTAATATATATATATATTTTTTTTTTTATTGATTTTTTACAAAGAGGAAGAGAGAGGGATAGAGAGTTAGAAACATCCATGAGAGAGAAACATCGATCAGCTGCCTCCTGCACACCACCTACTGGGGATGTGCCCGCAACCAAGGTACATGCCCTTGACCGGAATCGAACCCAGGACCTTTCGGTCTGCAGGCCGATGCTCTATCCACTGAGCCAAACCGGTTTCGGCCATCGATGACTCTTATTGAGTGATTTCTCTGGGCCGGTAGCGGGGCTGGGACACACCTCAGTGTCCGAGATGTCAGTGCCGTTAAGAAGGCCGTGTCCGTCGCTCCGTTTGCAGAGGAGAAGCTCAGAGAGGGTAAACCCTCTGCCTAAGGTCACACAGCAGTGAGCGGAAGGGTCAGGATTGGCACCCGGCGCCAAAGCCAGGGCTCTGAACCCTAACTCTGGTGCCACCTATACCCCACCGATGTGCCCGGCCGGTTGGCACGGGAACGGAGAGGGAGTGCAGTTCCCATCTGGTGACACGCGTTTTGTCCTTTTCCCGTGTGTGCGGCAGGAAGTTCCACGGCTACACGTCCCTGAAGGAGTACTACGAGCAGGAGAGCTGCATGCGGTACCTGCACAGGGTGAGTGGCAGCCCCAGCTTCACCCCGTCCTCCTCCCACCTCCGCCCGCAGCCCCCTCCTCACCGCCTGCTAGCTCCGCCAGAGCCTGGCTCAGACCGTCCAGCTGTTAACGCGGTTAATTATTGAACTGAACTCTGTCCCTCTGCCACCCCATCCCTCTGCCACCCCTTCCCTCTGCCGCCCCGTCCCTCTGCCACCCCTTCCCTCTGCCACCCCGTCCCTCTGCCACCCCGTCCCTCTGCAGCCCCGTCCCTCTGCCATCCTGTCCCTCTGCAGCCCCGTCCCTCTGCCACCCCGTCCCTCTGCCACTCCGTCCCTCTGCCACCCTGTCCCTCTGCTGCCCTATCCCTCTGCCACCCCGTCCCTCTGCAGCCCCGTCCCTCTGCCACCCTGCCCCTCTGCTACCCCATCCCTCTGCCACCCCGTCCCTCTGCCACCCTGTCTCTCTGCCACCCCGTCCCTCTGCCACTCTGTCTCTCTGCCACCCCGTCCCTCTGCCACTCTGCCCCTCTTCGACTTCTGTGTGCAGTCCCTGTGCTGTCCTCTCCTGGCCCTTGTGGTTTCGTTAGTGTGGTGCCTCGGGCTGAATTAAGAAGTCCTGCTGTGATCTGGTCACAGTGAAATAGTAGGTATATTTCTCTGCCAAAACAAGGAGGAATACGTGTGTTGACAAAGAGACTAGGTTTACACTAATGCAGTTAGAGCAGCTATAATGAACTCGATGCGAATTAAATTAAGTTTGCGGCCAACATAGCCCTCATATTTCTTAAACATTCTTATTGATCTCAGAGAGGAAAGGAGAGGAAGGGAGAGAGAGAAACATCAGTGATGATGCCCCTGGCTGGCTTGGCTCAGTGGATAGAGAGTCAGCCTGCAAACTGAAGGGTCCCAGGTTCGATTCCGGTCAAGGGCACATGCCTGGGTTGCGGGCTCAATCCCCAGTAGGGGACTTGCAGGAGGCGGCCAGTCAATGATTCTCTTTCATCATTAATGTTTCTCTCTCTTTCTCTTTCTCTTTCTCTTTCACTCTCTCTCTTCCCCTCTCTCTCTCTCCTTCACCCTTCCTCTCTGAAATCAATAAAGAATTATATTTAAAAAAATAATAATAATAAAAAAACATCAATGATGAGACAGAATCATTGATGGGCTGCCTCCTGCCCGCCCCCAACTGGGGATCAAGCCCACAACCTGGGCATGTGCCCTTGACCGGGAATTGGACCCGGGACCCTTGAGCTTGCAGGCTGGTGTTCTGTCCACTGAGCCATACCGGCTAGAGGAACCCCCATATGTTGTTTTGTTTTTGTTTTTGTTTTTGCCTGAACCACCACCCCCGGTCTCTCTCATTCTGTGTTTGCACAATTGCTCTTTTCACCCCAACGTGGGGGTCCATTTACCCCTGACAATGAGCACCTGTTGGTGTGGCCCACCGCCCGCAGCTGAAGCAGGGGCTTGTGGGATGCCGTTTGGCCACCCTTCCTAGCTCAGCCTCACACCCAGGCTTCCGGTGTCTCCACCTGCACCATCCCAGCGCCGTGGAGCCGCCCAGAGCCAAGCCAGGGGCCCCAGATTAGCCCATGCAGGCATGCTCTCCCAGCATGGTGGTCCAGGGGTGTCCATCCCCCTCCCCCCCCGCCTGCCAGGGCCGGAGTCACAGCAGTGGCTGGCCATCTGGGGACCAGGTTCCCTTCACCCACCTGTCCAGCATGCCGAGCAGGGACCAGGTTGGGCAGTGAACTTGAACCCGTGGATCAGTGGCGTCCACAACATCAGAGCAATCGCTTCATTCTCTCTCTCTCTCTCTCCTTGGTTCAGATCTACGTGCCCCTCATGCTGGTCAACGCGGCCGATGACCCCTTGGTCCACGAAAGCCTTCTGAGCATTCCAAAATCCCTCTCCGGTGAGTGTCTCTCCTGCCGCTCCCTCACGCCCCCGGCACCGCCGGCCATTCTGTCCCCTTTGCGTACTGTCCCTCCTGGCCGGGAGGGGGCCCCGGGCAGAGCCTCCCGTGTCCACCCCGTGCTGGAGGCAGCACGTCCCTTACGACCGGGGTCCCCTGTGGCTCTGAGCCTGTCGGCTCAGGGGTTATGGTTCCGTGAAGCCTGCGAGTTTGGCTTAAAGCGGTATTTACACTTCAGCCTTGACCCGAAAAGCAAACGACAAATAAAAAAAAAAAAACCTCGCGTGACAGCCAGCCTCTCCGTCTGCTCTGAGGATAAAAATATAAGCAGCTGGAAAAGCAGGCTGTGGCCGGGGGGAGCGTCAGCCAGCGCAGGCGGGAGCGGGAGGAGAGCTAACGGTCTCGGGCGGGCGGGGACCTGGGCACTCCTAGGACCTCGTTTCCCTGCACGTCCTCTGTAAGGACCACGTGTTACCTGGAAGAGAGAGGGGTACACCTCTGGTTCTCTCGGGACCCCAAGCTGGAAGGGTAGACACTGCAGCAGACAAGGACCCACGCCCGCCTGCCCGCCCGCCCGCAGAGAGCTCGGGGGCACCGCGCAGAGCGTGCCACTCGTGGGATCGGGTAAAGTCTCTCCTGTCACCCGCCCCCTCGGCCACGTGGGCAGCACACCGAGAAAGCAGCGTGTGCGCCTCCTTCCCTACACCCAGCCGTAGCTCTGCTTCTGTGGCACAGGAACGTATGCAATAGGGGCTGCAGGGCCGAAGCCGGTGCGGCTCAGTGGATAGAGCGCCGGCCTGCGGACTGAAGGGTCCCGGGTTCGATTCCGGTCAAGGGCATGTGCCTTGGCTGCGGGGACATCCCCAGTAGGGGGTGTGCAGGAGGCAGCTGATCCATGATTCTCTCTCATCCATGTTTTTAACTCTTTATCCCTCTCTGTGAAAAAAAAAAAAAATCAATAAAATGTATTTTTTTAAAAAAAATAGTGGCCGCAGGGACAGGGTACAGGGGGTCAGGCAAGAAAGGACCCCCAGAAAGTGTCGCCCACCCCGTGCAGCCAGCAGGGGGCGCTGTCTGTCTCTCTCTCTCTCTCTCTCTCTCTCTCTCTCTCTCTCTCACACACACACACACACACACACACACACACACACACACCCGGGAAGACAGCTGCCCCGTAGCTGCCCACTTGCAACCAGCCTCACCCATCCATGCTGAGCAGGTGCCACGGGAGCGTGGACGTCTTTAATAAGGTGACCAGACGTCCCGCTTTTGGCGGGACAGTCCCGATTCTTAACAATGTGTCGATTGTTTTAAGCACCACCGGCAGCTTTACGTTTCCGTCTTAGAAGATAAATGGCGTGAGAAACCGTCGGCTCACTGAGCCGCCTTGTTCCCCAATAATGACTGCAAATGCCGGGCCGGGAGCCCTTCCCGGGGACCCCCCCCCCCCCAGCCTCAGCCCCGCCTGGAGCTCGGCAGAGCAGCGCCTGCATTTTCAGGCGACATCCCAGGGGTTCCGGTGCACAGAGCTGGGGCGCGCTTGGAAATCATTTTTTAAATGATTTCAGAGAGGAAGGGAGAGAGAGAGAGAGAGAGAGAGAGACATGATGAGAGAGTCAAAACCGGTGTGGCTCAGTGGATAGAGTGTCAGCCTGCGGACTGAAAGGTCCCAGGTTCGATTCCTGTCAAGGGCATGCACCTTGGCTGAGGGCACATCCCCAGTAGGAGGTGTGCAGGAGGCAGCTGGACGATGTCTCTCTCTCATTGATGTTTCTAGCTCTCTTTCTCTCTCCTCTCCCTTCCTTTCTGTAAAAAATCAATAAAATATATATTTTTTTAATATATTTTATTGATTTTTCACAGAGAGGAAGAGAGAGGGATAGAGAGTTAGAAACATCGATGAGAGAGAATCATCGATCAGCTGCCTCCTGCACACACCCCACTGGGGATGTGCCCGCAACCAAGGTACATGCCCTTGCCCGGAATCGAACCCGGGACCTTTCAGTCCGCAGGCCGACGCTCTCTCCACTGAGCCAAACAGGTCCCGGCTATATATATATATATATATTTTTTTTTAATGATGATAGAGAATCATTCATCGATTGGCTGCCTCCTGCAGGCCCCCTTCTGGGGATGGAGCCCACCACCAGCATGTGCCCTTGACCAGAATCGAACCCGGGACCCTTCAGTCTGCAGGCCGACGCTCTATCCACTGAGCCACACCAGCTAGGGCGCTGCACAGAGATCTCTCCAAACCCCTGCGTGCGACCACGCAGCCGTGTGTGAGAACCGCTTAGACCTGCCAGGCTCTGCTCCAGGCCAGGCTGCTGCTCTCCAGCCTGCTAGGTCCCACCTCCCTTACGGAGGTGAATGAGGCAGCGAGTGGAGGTCGAATGCCCTTGCAGGTGACCTCCACCACCTGGCCAGGGCCTCACGGCCGCCTTTCCCCTGCAGAGAAGCGGGAAAACGTCATGTTCGTGCTGCCCCTGCACGGGGGCCACCTGGGCTTCTTCGAGGGCTCCATGCTGCTGCCCGAGCCGCTGACGTGGATGGACAAGCTGGTGGTGGAGTACGCCAACGCCATCTGCCAGTGGGAGCGCAGCAAGCTGCAGTGCGCCGACGCAGCCGCGGCCGAGCAGGTGGAGGCCGGCCCGGAGTGAGGCCCCCCGGACCGCGGCCCTCCGGCCGCCCCCCTCGAACTGGGACGTCCCTCCCCGGCTGTTCAGGTCTCCCCCTCCCTCCGCGACCTGGATCTGACCTCACCCCAGCAGCGCGGGGGCCACCCCGGGCGCGCCAGGCTATTTTTGTGCTTAGTTCCTTGTTTTTTCTCCATTGCAATGTTCTCCATGGTGACAAGCGCCCAGGCAGCGTCTCTCTCGGCCTCCTGTCCGGGCTAGCGTCATCCTCATGATTGCTTTTCAGCCAATCTCGTCTAGTTTCCCTTACGGAAAAAAAAGGTGTCAGGACAGCAGTTTTGCTTTGCCAATCGAAAGCCCCCCCCCCCCCCCAAGAACAATGAAGGGCGTCGGTTATTCGGTGGCGACCGGAATGTGTCCTTGCGTGGATCCCGAAAACGCGCTGGCCAAGCCGGGCCTCCGCTGGAGCTGCAGGTCAGCTCCGAGCCCGGGGTCCCTTAGGGCAGAGAAAAACCGCCTCAATCACAAGCCAAGCTTCTCCCTCGCTCGCTCCTAGGACAGCGTCCCAGCCCCTTGCAGGTGCTGAGAGTGACCGGGGGCACTTATTAAAAATTCAGCCTCCCAGGTCCCTCCCCAAGGAGAGGCCGGCGCCGCACGCCTGGGAAAGGGCCTGGGGATTTTAATTTTTGACAAGTGCCCCCGGTGATCCTCATCGCCGGGCAAACTGGGGAAACTGGCCTTCCCATTAGAAACATCTCAGTTGCTCTTTTTATTTTTTAATATATTTTACTGATTTTTTTTTTTTTTTTTTTTTTTTTACAGAGAGGAAGAGAGAGGGACAGAGAGTTAGAAACATCGATCAGCTGCCTCCTGCACACCCCCCACCGGGGATGCGCCCGCAACCAAGGTACATGCCCTTGCCCGGAATCGAACCGGGGACCCTTGAGTCCGCAGGCCGTCGCTCTACCCACTGAGCCACACCGGTTTCTCTTTTTATTAAAGTCCGTAGTCGGAGGAGGGGTCACCCAGCTCCCAGCGGCCCCCCCCCCCGAGGCCTGTCGTGCACAGCTACCCGCCGTGACCACCCCCGACTCTGCTTCTCACCGGCTAGATGACCCTGGGAAGGCCCCCTTGAACTTGACCTCCCTCGCCTGTGAAACGGGGCCCTTGAACCAGGTAGATTGCCGGCTGAGATCGCTCCCCGCCCTGAAGTTCAATGACAAACTCGCTTCCCCTGAGGTTTTGAGAGACCGGCCCTCCGGGGAGGGGCCCGGGAGCCGCACTCCGGTCTAACCACACAGACGTCCTCATCATTTGCCTTCTTCTGTCGGTTTGTCTGTCCGCTCCTCACGTCCCATAAAGCCGTCTGCGGGGCCTTGTCTTACGACGCGCTCGTTTGTAATCTTGTCTTTTAACCCAGGTCTCTCCCCAGCTCTCGCTTTTGAGACCAGACGTTCAAAAGCTGGACCTGTGTTGGGAGCGAGGCCTTCCCAACCCGAGGAGATGTTTGTTTTCCTGCGAGCGGATTCTTAACTCCCTCGTTTACAGAGGCCTCTCCTCGCGTGTCCTCCCCGGCGAAACGGTCCCGCTTACGTTTCAAGTACTTTCCTCCAATCCTGCGGTACTTGAATGTCCAGAAACCCTGCACTTTGCAAAAACCCGCAGTGGCTGTCCGGAGCGAAATGGAACTCTGAGAGGCATCGCCCGGATGCTTCAAAACGTGCCCCGCGTCATCCCCTTGGCTCCCGGGGCGGACGGGGGAAGGAGGAGGAGGAGGAGTGGTCCCAATGGGTGTGGAAGGGGCTCAGGGGGTCCCCTGGGGGCCCGGAGGCCGACCCCTGTGGCCACAGGTGGTCACAGTCTGAGCATCGGCCCGCGTGGCTGTGGCAGGAAATGTCTGTGAGCTGGAGAAACCATTTGCTGACAATCGCTAGATCGAACTAACCAATAACATCCAGAACAGCCACTGTCTCGAAAGGTGACAATGCCTGTGGCCCGGACTCTGATGCGGTTTGTCCTGGTGACACCATCCCCCCCAAGTTGTTCTTTTTCTACTGCTTTTCCTTCTCGCGTTGTTTTAGCACAGAGTGGCACTTTACCCCCCCACCCCCTTTCGGAAGCCCGCCCTTGTCCCCTGTCACTTCCCCGCCCCCCGACAGCCACAGCTGCGATCCAGAAGATTCTGTCATACTCCCACCACCCCCTTCTTCGTCTCTTAAGACTCCCTGTGCAACGCAGTGACTTCATGGGTTCCTGTGACCATCCATCTCCTTGTCGTCTGCCCGGGTCCCCTCTCCCCACCTGCTCTGAGGCAGTAGCGGCCAGCTCCCGGCCCCATCCGGAAAGAGGAAAGACAGTGTTGCAGGGGAGTCCGGTCCAGGCGTCCCCCCTGCAGGTGGGGCGCCTCCTGTGTTGCCACCCGACCGGAATTCACCCCCCGGAGCTGTGCGGGCGGCGGCCCAGCTGAGCTCTTTGCAGTGTGTGACTCTGAATGGCTCTCACACCGAGGCCACTGAAGGCCTTTGTCCAGCGCCAGGCTCTCGGGCACGGAAACGAGGGGGGTGGCTGTGGCCGCCTCAACAGGGACAGTCTTGTGTGCCCTGAACGGGCGCGCGGGGCATTGAACGGCCAGAGAGGCGAGCTCGCCGGGTAAATAAGGGAGCGGCGTTCTGTATGCGGGTCAGCTTCCCCCTCGCTCCCTCTCCCCTTCGCTTTTCTTCCGAGGTCATTCCTTCCTGGGGGCCGTGGGAAAAGTCATTCATTTCTTCCGGCTGTTCAGGCTTGAACTTGAGCTTTTGAACGCTCTATTCTGAAATCAGATTGAAGGATGTCAGTTGCAAAGACCCAGACGGTTCAATCGCAGGAATAACACGTTTAAAAGCCAAGGAGGGGGGTCCCCGCGTTCCTTCTGGTTAAACCCCCCGTCTCCCCCCCAAACAATCTGAAGACACTGATGAGTAACCGGTTCTTGGGAAATGGTGTCAGGTCTCCTTGATGCACTGCTGTTTGAGGGCGTTTAACAGCCTTGAAGAAAACCCCTTGTCCTGGCCAGTTTGGCTCAGTGGATAGCGCGTCGGCCTGCGGACGGAGGGTCCCGGGTTCGATTCTGGTCAAGGGCGCGTACCTCGGCAGCAGGCTTCTGGCTTTGGTCAGGGGGCAGGCGGGAGGCAACCATTGATGTGTCTCTCCCACATCGATGTTTCTCTCTCTCTCTCTCTCTCACTCTCTCTCTCTCACTCTCTCTGAGAATCAATGGGGGAAATAACGTCCAAAAAAAAAATTTTAAAAAACCATCACTTCTCTGCTGTGTGTTTGCACCAGGGCCTCCAGGGCGGCCTGGAGGGAAGGCTGTTTGTGGTCACAGTCATTGTCAGCTCTCAGCGGCGTGGTGGGGGGGCCTGTGACAGACCCCAGGAGGGGAAATGTGCCTGAAAGGGGAAACGGGGCGCAGGGGACCCGGGTTCTTGCCCCACCTGCCCCTCATTCACCCCGGATGGGGGGCAACCGCTTCACCTCCCTGAGCCCCAGTGACCCCAGACCACGCATGTCAAACTCGAGGCCAGCGGGCCACACGCCTCAAGGGGGCGTGCAATCCCGCAGGCCGCGAGTTTGACACGCTTGTCCTAGACCGTCTCTCTGAAACCATTCATCGACGCACAAGTCAGCTTCCCCGATCGTCCCGCAGCTCCTGCTTTGGAATCCGTTGAGTCAGGGCCCCTGGCTCGCCCTGTGGGGCCGGGGGAGGGAGCTGCAGCGTCAGGCTTTGCGGGCGACGACCTTGACCTTGCCTCTGCCCGTGTCTTCGGGCTTCTCTTCGGCGTCTCCATCCTCATCTCGGCGTCTCGCTGTCCCCGGGGGCTTGGCCGAGTGACCGGGACCCCGTCTCTCTGTGCGGCTCGGCCAGGGCGCTGAGCGTCCCCGGGACAGGCATCCTCCCAGCTCCCGCTTTCATTCCCAACCCGCCGCCTTCATTCAAGCCCGGGTGAGGGCGCGCTTTGTGGCCTGTGACTCTCGGGTCATTCATCCCGCCGGTTCCCCCGGGGGACAATTGCTTGTGTTCTTGCTTGTGTGTGTGCCCCAGCAGGCAGACGTCTGGGATGTGAGGGGCCCTTCTCTCTGGCCTGGAGGTAAAACCGAGATCCCTGACACCCCACGGCTGAGTCCCGCGTTGCTAAGAAGCATTTGCCAGCGGCATCCGCTCGCCACCTCATCTGGAACCCCCTTCTTTGACCAGAAAGCCTTAACTTGACTATCTCCCCCCCTCCCCCCAGGATCGTGGCTTCTCGATTCAAATCCTTCCAGTTTGAAGCAAAGCCACAAGCAAAACCAGAGCATTTCCCCGCGGGGCCTGTACGCGCCTCCTTACGTCAGGCACCCCACCCCTCGGCGATCGGGGGCCCAGAACCTGCCAAATGCCCCCTCCGACGCCTGCCTTCCTCCCTCCATGGCCTCTTGTTCGGAGCCACCGGCTCCTTGGATGCTTCAGAGGCCGTGACAAGGAGCCGTCTGAGGCGTGCGGAGGCCCAGAGTGGGGGGGGGGGGGGGGGACGGTCGGAGGCGCCCCCTCTTCCCGGAGCAGAATCGCTTTTGCCAAATTGAATCTGAGGCTGAGGGAAGGGCGGGTGGCCCCTTGCTGGCAGCGAGACTGGGATGCTCCCCCCAAAAAAAAGCAGCTTCCTCCAGCTGCGGCCGGGGTCCCCCCCTCCCCCCCGGGGCCGAGCTCCCCAGCCATTCTCCGCTTCCAGACAGCGGCCAGCGGCCCCTTCCCATCCCCCCTTTTCTGAGCTGTTTTTCCAGGCACGTGTGTGGGTGTCTAATAAATAAGAGGACATTCACTTCTTTTTTTAAAAAATATTTTTATTGATTTTTTTTGTTTTGTTTTGTTTTTACAGAGAGGAAGGGAGAGGGAGAGTTAGAAACATCAATGAGAGAGAAGCATCCATCAGCTGCCTCTTGCACACACACACACACACACACACACACACACACACCCCTCACCGGGGATGTGCCCACAACCAAGGTACGTGCCCTCGACCGGAATCGAACCTGGGACCCTTCAGTCCGCAGGCCGAGGCTCTATCCGCTGAGCCACACCGGGTTTCGGCAGATTAAGCCTTTTAACTCGACTCCTCTGTCCATCAGGAACGAAATCCATCTCCTACGGTCTCCCCGTCCTGGTCCCCATCCGCCAAGAAATCTACTCTCTTGCCATAAGCCGGGGACCTGCAGAAATACCCTCCTCTCGTGGGCATTCTCCTCCCAGACCACCCGCGCCGAGCGGCCCCCAGCCCGGGGGCGTGGGTGGGCCAGGCTTCCTTCCCCGGATGTAGAGTTTGGTCCCAGATGTAGAGTTTGGTCCCGTTAGGTTTTTCCCTCCGGCCTCTGCCCCGTTAGTTCCCCTGAAGCACAACCCCCCTCCCTCGAGCCCGTCACCCCTCCACCCCAGCTCCAGGCGAGCTGGCCCCCCCAATGCCTCAGGAAGACCTGGCACTGTACCCGAGCACCCACTCCTGCCACTTCAGCGGCCTTAGCAACACCCCCGGGGCGGGAGGGGCCGGAGGGGGGGCCCCCCTGGCCCGCTCAGATGCCCGCCAGCCCCCTACTTCCCCCCCTCCCTGCAGATCTGCTTCCAGGTTGATTTTTGAGAACCATCACCTCCACATTCCTGATTTCTCGTTCTGTGTCATTTCGTTCGGATTTTCCTGAAACCTACCGTCGCCGCCCTAAAAACCATGTTTTGTTTTTTGTTTTTTTTTGAGTTTGTGTCTAAAAAACCTCCGTGCTGCCGGGTCTGGGGGTCTGGGGGGGATGGGGGTGGGGGGGGACACACTGGGGACCCTCCGGCACCGAGGCGTTTAACATCTGCAACTAGCAATGCAATTTTTTCTAAATAACGAGGATACTGACTTTTATTAAGAAACTAGACTAAGACACCCCATGTCCTGGACCGTTTTTTACGTTCCCCTGTTGCGTTGGGCCCTCTTTTGATTATTCCGTTTGGTGGTGAACAAAGATCATGACAAGCGAAAACTGTAATTTTGTTATCTTTTGATTCAATGGACTTTCTTTTACTTTAAAAAAAAAAAAAAATTAAAACACTAAAACCGTGGCGAGTCTGCGAGTTTTCTGTATGGGTGGGGGTGTTTTATATTTATCTGTTTATTTATGTATTTTAATATATTTTATTGATTTTTTTTTTTTTTTACAGAGAGGAAGGGAGAGAGAGAGAGAGAGCCAGAAACGTCGATGAGAGAGAAACATCGACCAGCTGCCTCTTGCACACCTCCTACCAAGGATGTGCCCGAAACCAAGGTCCATGCCCTTGACCGGAATCGAACCCGGGACCTTTCAGTCCGCAGACCGACGCTCTATCCACTGAGCCACACCGGCTTCGGCTGGGGGGTTTTATATAATATTTAAAAGGGTTCTCTGCTGTGTCTTCACCAAAGTGTGAGTTTGAAGGAAAATGGGCCAAACACCAAGTTCTCGTGATGACTGGCTTTAAAAAAAAAAAGTATTTTTATTGATTTCAGAGAGGGAGGGAGAGGTAGAAACATCAGTGGTGAGAGAGAACCATGGATCGGCTGCCTCCTGCACGCAACCCCATTAGGGATCGAGCCCGCAACCCCAAGGCCTGTGCCCTCACCAGGAATCGAACCCTGACCTCCTGGTTCCTAGGTCAATGCTCAACCACTGAGCCACACCGGCCAGGCCCTGCTTCCCCTCTTACCATTACGATGATGGCGGCCACTTGTAGGAACCCAGCCTGTAGGCAGCTGGGATTTTGTGAGGCTGAGCATTACAGATCTAACATTCACATTCACGGGCTCGCCGATGCCGGTGTGGCTCAGTGGATAGAGCGTTGGTCTGCGGACTGAAAGGTCCCAGGTTCGATTCCGGTCAAGGGCATGTACCCTGGTTGTGGGCACATCCCCGGTGGGGGGCATGCAAGACGCAGCTGGTCGATGTTTCTCTCTCATCGACGTTTCTAGCTCTCTATCTCTCTCCCTTCCTCTCTGTAAAAAAAAAAAATCAACAAAAAATAAATTAAAAAAAAATAAAAATAACATTCACGGGCTTGGGACCCAGTTTCGCAAAGGGGACAGGGAAGGTCTGGCCCCACTCACCCACCTCTTTCCTGCTCAGCTTGTCTCTGAGCGGGGAGGGGCAGTACCAGGGCATGGCCAGCAGGGGGCAGTACCGGGCCACAGTCAGCAAACTCACTTGTCAGCTCCTGCCCGCCTTGGCTCCAGATGTAGGAAATCCCTCAGGATGAGGGTATAGAGCAGCTCCCCAGCTTTTGCTGGAGGGACCCCACAGACAGGAGGAGGGGGACACAGCTGGCCGTCGCTGTTCTGGGGAGCAGGCCACCCCAAGATGGAGCTGCTGCAAGCCTGCCCCCAGCCTGGAATTGCACGTGGGAAGCCCTCACTGCCTGCTGGCTACCGAGCATCCGGTGCCCCCAGATCCCTCTCGCTTCTATCCCCCTCCTTGTCTGTGTTCACGGCTCTGCGTAGCAAATCTCTCTTGCAAAGGAAATCATTAAGAGTCTTGGAAACTACCCTACACGAACCCTTTTCCTGCAGCTTCAAAGACAGTAAGAATGTAATTGTTCTCATCATCACCATCACCTTTTTTTATTTTTTATTTTTTTATATATATTTTATTGATTTTTTTTTTTTTTTTACAAAGAGGAAGAGAGAGAAGGAGAGTTAGAAACATCGATGAGAGAGAAACATCCATCAGCCGCCTCCTGCACAGCCCCTCCTGGTACCCACAACCAAGGTACATGCCCCCGACCGGAATCGAACCTGGGACCCTTCAGTCCGCAGGCCGACGCCCTATCCACTGAGCCACACCGGTTTCGGCTCATCATCATTTTTTAAAACAAGATATTTATTTATTTATTATTATTATTTTTCATCCTCACCCAAGGATATTTTCCCGTTGACTTTTAGGGAGAGGGGAAGAGGGAGGGAGAGGCGGAGAGAAACATCGATGTGAGAGAAACACATCGATGGGCTGCCTCCTGCACACGCACCCCGACCAGGGCCCAGGCCTGGGAGGAGCCTGCCACTGAGGTCCACACCCTTGACTGGAATCGAACCCGGGACCCTTCCATCTGCAGGCCGACGCTCTATCCACTGAGCCACACTGGCTAGGGCCCCAACTCTTCTTATTCAAGCGAATTCCACTGGTTTGTCGCCCCCGGAAGAGGGTGATGCTCGGGGAGGGTTGGGGGAACCCCAGGCCCCGCAGGCAGCCCTTTCCCAGCTGCTGGGCCCGGGGCACGGGGAGACGCCCAGGGGGGCTAACTGCGGGTCGGAGGGAGGGGTGTCCTCAGAAGGCCGTGTCCTCGGCGTGGGCCCGGGGGCCGAACAGCTGCTCGGCCACCACCTTGCCGTCGTACCTGGGCAGCGTGCCCCCGAAGTCGGCGGGCAGGATGTCCTTGTCAACCTCCTGGAAGAAGCCAGAGAGATCCTCTCCGTGGACAAAGACCTGCAGGGAAAGGGGGCAGAGCTGAGCTGGGCCCCCATCAAAAGTCACCAAGCCAGCCGAAGCCGGTGTGGCTCAGTGGATAGAGCGTCGGCCTGCGGACCGAAGGGTCTCAGGTTCGATTCCGGTCAAGGGCATGGACCTTGGTTACGGGCACATCCCCGGTAGGGAATGTGCAGGAGGCGGCTGATCGTTGTTTCTCTCTTGTTGATGTTTTCTGTCTATCCCTCTCTCTCCCTCTCTGTAAAAAAAAAATATATATATATATTTTTTTTTTAAATATATTTTATTGATATTTTACAGAGAGGAAGGGAAAGAGATAGTTAGAAACATCGATGAGAGAAACATCGACCAGCTGCCTCTTGCACACCCCCTACTGGGGATGTGCCCGCAACCAAGGTCCATGCCCTTGACCGGAATCGAACCTGGGACCTTTCAGTCCGCAGACCGATGCTCTATCCACTGAGCCACACCGGCTTCGGCAATAAAATATATATTTTAACAAAATAAAATAAAAATAAAAATCAATAGGAAAATATCCTCGAGTGAGGATTAACAACAACAAAAGAATCCCCATTCTCTCACCACTCACAGCCAATCACTGTGCAGCGCCCCGGCTCGCCCCGCCCCTGCGCGGCCAGCCGCCTGCCACTCACCCTCTGGAGCAGCTTGCTCTTAAGGAAGGGCCTCACGGCATTGTAGGTGGTGGTGAAGTACCAGGGCTGGTGGATGAAGTGGATGGCCTTGAACCTGGCTGGGAAGGAGTCCTGTGGGGACAGAGAGTGCCCCCTCCCTGAGGACCCAATGGCCTGAGGTTCCCAACTACCCCCCCCTCTGCCTCTCCCTCCCCAAGGCACGGGTACAGGCCCCTGAAGGTTCCAGGGGAACCTGGAGCAGTCACGCAAATCTCTGAGCCTTGATTTCCAGGTTTTAAAACGAAGCATGGACGTCCTCACCGGTGTGGCTCAGTGGATAGAGCATCCGCCTGAAGACTGAAAGGTCCCGGGTTTGATTCCAGTCAAGGGCATGTACCATGGTTGCGGGCACATCCCCAGTGGGAGGGGGGGGTGTGCAGGAGGCAGCTGATCGAGGTTTCTCTCTCATCGATGTTTCTAACTCTCTATCCCTCTCCTTTCCTCTCTGTGGGAAATCAATAAAATATATATATTAAAAATATAATAATAAAAAATAAAAATAAAAACTGTGAAGACCAAAACCGGTGTGGCTCAGTGGATAGAGCGTCGGCCTGCGGACTGAAGGGTCTCAGGTTCGATTCCGGTCAAGGGCATGTACCTTGGTTGCGGGCACATCCCCAATGGGGAGCGTGCAGGAGGCAGCTGATCGATGTTTCTCATCGATGTTTCTAACTCTCTATCACTCTCTCTTCCCCTCTGTAAAAAATCAATAATATATATATATATATATATATATTTAAAATAATAATAATAAATAAAAAATGTGAAGAAAAGGAGGCAGGAAGCAGCGAGCGGATGCTCTCTCCGGGTAGATGAACTAATAATGGCTGTGACTCCCTGGCCCACTGTCCATCACCATGCAGAAGTACCTGTGGTTGGCCTGGCCCTCTCTGGAACATTCTCAGCGCCCTGCCAGCGCCGTTAAGCCAGGACGCCGGGCCCGGCCGCCCCGCCTCGGGCCCCACCTGGAGCATGTCCACCATCTTCCTGAGGTCGGCGGCCCGCAGCCCCGCCGCCTGCTGCAGCGTGAAGCCCCGGAAGTTCTCCACGATGCAGAAGCCGTTGATCTGCGTCTCCTCGTTCTCCAGCAGCTTCTCCAGGAGGAAGCAATAGGCCTGCAGGATCTGGGCACAGAGGGCACAGGCTGCCGGCCCCGCCCGCGGGCACCAGGGCCTGGCGGGAGAGCCGGCGGGTGCACCCCGATCATCCGAGGTCACTGGTCACCTGCTTACAGCGGGACACGCCCCACTCTGGGAGTGGGTCCCAGGAAATAATGGTGACTGTCCCAGCCATGTTTAATGCCAGCGTGCTTATCCCTGACCCTTTATTTTTATTTATTTTTTGATATATTTTTATTGATTTTTTACAGAGAGGAAGGGAGAGGGATAGAGAGCTAGAAACATCGATGAGAGAGAATCATCCATCAGCTGCCTCTTGCACGCCCCCTTCTGAGGATGTGCCCGCAACCAAGGTCCATGCCCTTGACCGGAATCGAACCTGGGACCCTTAAGTCCACAGGCCGACGCTCTACCCACTGAGCCAAACTGGTTTCGGCTATCCTTGTCCCTTTAAACTTCACTGTATTTGCCAAGGCTTTTTATTTATTATTATTTTTAAAAAATTGCCGAAGCCGGTTTGGCTCAGTGGATAGAGCGCCGGCCTGCGGACTGAAGGGTCCCAGGTTCGATTCCGGTCAAGGGCATGGACCTTGGTTGCGGGCACATCCCCGGTAGGGGTGTGCAGGAGGCAGCTGGTCGATGCCTCTCTGTCATCGATGTTTCTAACTATCCCTCTCCCTTCCTCTCTGTAAAAAAATCAATAAAATATATATTTTTTAAAAACAAGAAACAACAACAACAACAAAAAACTACTGGGTTTCCAGCTGCCCTGGCCACTCTAGGCGTTCTCCCCCAGCTGGACAGGGCCTGGGGGCCTTGGCTGCCCGACCCACACTTAGCCTGGGGAGGGAGGCGGAGCCAGGACTGCGAGCCCCCGCAGAGGCCAGGGCTGGGGGCGGGGCCCCAGGGCTGGGGCGGGGGCCCGGGGCTGGGGGCGGGGCCCAGGGCTGAGGGGGGGCCCCGGGCTGGGGGAGGGGCCCCAGGCTGGGGGCGGTGCCCCAGGGCTGGGGGCGGTGCCCAGGGCTGGGGGGGGCGCCCAGGGCTGGGGGAGGGGCCGGGCTGGGGGCGGGGCGGGGCTGGGGCTGGGGCTGGGGGCGGGGCCCCAGGGCTGGGGGCGGGGCCCCAGGGCTGGGGGAGGGGCCCCGGCTGGGGGCGGGGCCGGGCTGGGGCGGGGCTGGGGCTGGGGCTGGGGGCGGGGCCAGGGCTGGGGGCGGAGCCCTAGCCCAGCCCAGCCCAGCGTGGGCGAGGGGCCCGCTGACCTCGTCGAAGGTGATCTCCTCGCAGTCCCAGTTCTCGATGTTGAAGAGCAGGACCGCCCGGCCGTGCCGGTCCCGGCGGGAGAGGACGCCGGGGTAGCCGGCCTCGATGGTGCAGCGCAGCGCCTGCAGGGACAGGCTGTCGAAGAGCTCGGGGTGCTGCAGCCGGAAGTGCACGTAGCCTGGTGCAGGGAGGACGAACGGAGGGGTCCCTCAGGGAGCCAGCCCGTCCCGGGGGGTGGAGGGAGGGGGAGAGGGGATCCCCAGGCCTGCGTGGGACAGAGCAGGACACCCCCTCTCTGGGATCATTGCATCCGGAATAAAACTCTAGGCCGGAACATCATTGGTCAACGGCCCACGTGGGAGGTGGGATCCTAAATCTGAGGACCACACCGAACGGGTCTTCCTCTGTCCCATGGGCAGGGGTACAGGTGTCTCAGCTGGGCACAGGGTGAGCTGAGTGGAGGCGGGGAGAAGATAAACTCAAACCCCAAGCCTTGGCTGGTGTGGCTCAGTGGATAGAGCGTCAGCCTGCGGACTGAGGGGTCCCGGGTTCGATTCCGGTCCAGGGCATGGACCTTGGTTGCGGGCACATCCCCAGTTGGGGGTGTGCAGGAGGCAACTAACTGATCAATGTTTCTCTGTCATCATGGATGTTTCTGACTCTCTATCCCTCTTCCTCTCTCTCTTAAAAAATAATAATAATAATAATAATAAAATATTTTAAAGATAAAATAAGTTTTTAAAAACTGCTGTTAGAATTCTCTGCTATTGTTAGATAGTCCCTCGTCCTGAAAACCCCTGACCTTATAAACTCTATCACTTTCAGGCAGTCTGTTCTTCTGTAAAAGGACTTCATGTTTCCGTTTTAAATAATAGAAAAGGATAAACTTAACGGTCCGACCTTGCAAGCTAGCAGCCAATGTCAGAGACTATAAAATAGACCGATACGGCCGAAACCGATTGAGGCTCTAGGAATCTGGGCCTGTCCCATTCATTCATTCATTCATTCATTCATTGTCACAGCCGAGAGGGACCGCTCAGCTCTGAGCATGTTAGGGGTAAAGACGGGGAGGCTCAGAGCCACGGTGAGCAGGGAGAGAAAGCACAGGGTCACCACCTCCCTCACACCCTCCTCTCCAAGCCCCGCTGCCCACACGGGCCTCACCTCGGAGCAGCTGGTAGGCGCGACCCACGTCGAACTTCCTGGCGCGGATGAAGCGCAGGAAGAAGGCGTGGTCCCTGCCCCGCACCTGCTCGGCCACGGCCACGGCCAGCGCCTGCCCGGAGGCCGCCTGCTGCAGCACCAGCTCCTGCAGCGCCTGCACCGCCTCCTCCCGCGTCTCCTCCCTCTCGTTCAGCTCGTCCTTGGCCTGGAACAGAGTCCGGTGGGAGCAGGAGGTCACCACGGGGAGGTGCTGTGCGGGGCTGGACACACGCACACACGGGGTGAGACCTCGCAGGGGCAGCAGCTGGGCCCTCACTGCTCCATCCGCAGGACAACTGGTTGCATTTGGGGAAATTGAGTCCAACTGCTCATCCTGGCTTCCTGGGACAGGATGAATGAAGCCCAAGGTCTGACGGTCTCTCATCCTAACAGCCTGCCCTCAGGGAGCCCCTGGTTAGCACTCTGCCCAGTCCTTTAAGTACATTGTGTTTTTTTTCACCTACGAACTAGGAGATCAGGGTTCGATTCCCGGTCAGGGCACAGGCCCGGGGTTGCGGGCTCCATCCCCAGTGTGGGGCGTGCAGGAGGCAGCCGCTCCGTGATTCTCTCTCATCATCGATGTGTGTGTGCGTCTCTCTCTCCTTCTCTCTATCCTCTCTGAAATCAATAAATATATTTTTAAAAATATTTTATTGATTTTTTTACAGAGAGGAAGGGAGAGGGATAGAGAGGTAGAAACGTCGATGAGAGAGAAACATCGATCAGCTGCCTCCTGCACACCCCCCACTGGGGATGTGCCCGCAACCAAGGTACACGCCTTTGACCGGAATCGAACCTGGGACCTTTCAGTCCGCAGGCCGATGCTCTATCCACTGAGTCAAACCGATTAGGGCAATAAAAATATTTTTTAAAAATGCAACGTCCCTGCTGAAACCGGTGTGGCTCAGTGGATAGAGCATCGGCCTGCAGACTGAAGGGTCCCAGGTTCTATTCCGGTCAAGGGCATGTACCTTGGTTGCGGGCACATCCTCAGGTGGGGGTGTGCAAGAGGCAGCTGATCGATGACTTTCATCGATGTTTCTAACTCTCTATCTCTCTCCCTTCCTCTCTGTACAAAATCAATAAAATATACTTTTTAAAAAAATCAATAAAATATATATATATTTTTAAAAATGCAATGTCCCTAATATCAGAGAGTCTAGGACGGTCCCTGGCCAGAGACCCAGGTCCCAGGGAGCCCCGTGGGTGCTGTAGACCTGGATAGCGGGCTGATGTCTGGCCAGTCCTGGCCGCCAGGAGGGCCCCTGGCAAAGGCCAGCCCATGTGGTTCAGACAACCCGGAGAGCTGGGGCAGGACGCTTTGTCCAGCAGCCAGGAGGCCACCACACCCCTCCCCTTTGTTGCCTCCCTCACCTGCCCCTCTTCCCCCACCCCCTGCCCCCGGGGCCACCCCACCTTCTGCAAGGTGTGCGGGGGCAGCTCGCTGCACTGCCCAAAGACAGGCCCGTGGTCGTGGGTGGTGAGCCGCTCCAGCTGGGCACGCAGCTGCCGTTCCTCTTCAGGGACCTCCCGGAAGGTGCCCTCCTGCGCAGGAAAAGGCAGTGGCAGGTTCCCCTCAGCCTGAGCGGGCCCAGGCCATGCCCACAACCCTTGGTGGCTGGCTGGTCAGCCTCCTTGCTGTGGGCAGCGTCCAGGGCCGCAGAGAGGTTGCAGGGGACAATGCACATGGCGGACCAGGTGTGCAGAAGCAGGGAGGGGGCAGGGCAGTGGGGAAGGTAGGTGGAGGGGGACTCACCCCCGTGGACATGCTGCCTCCAAGAGCCTGATTCTGGGGCCTCTCTGTCCCGGTCCCTGCCTTGGGATAGGGGGTCAGGAGGGCAGCAGCGAATGTAGAAATGGCAGGTCTGGTCTCAGGACCCCGGATCTCAAATGTTCCCAAGCCTCGCAGTCACCTGGGGCGTTTGCTGTTGTTCCGCTGAAAGACATTGTTTAAAATATACATATTTTATTGATTTTTTTTTTTACAGAGAGGAAGGGAGAGGGATAAAGAGTTAGAAACATCGATCAGCTGCCTCCTGCACACCCCCCACTGGGGATGCACCTGCAACCAAGGCACATGCCCTTGACCGGAATCGAACCCGGGACCTTTCAGTCCGCAGGCTGACGCTCTATTCACTGAGCCAAACAGGTCAGGGCTGAAATGCATAGTTTAAATACACATGCACATTTCTTTCTTTTTAAATATATTTTATTGAACCTTTTACAGAGAGGCAGAGGGAGGGATAGAGAGTTAGAAACATGGAGGAGAGAGAAACATTGACCAGCTGCCTCCTGCACACCCCCCACTGGGGATGTGCCCGTAACCAAGGTACATGCCCTTGACCGGAATCGAACCCGGGACCCTTCAGTCCACAGGCCGACGCTCTATCCACTGAGCCAAACAGGTCAGGGCTGAAATGCATTGTTTAAATTCACACGCACATTTCATTGATACGTATTTGCTAAGTCTGCCCACAGGCCGGTCTGGCTCGGCCTGGAAAGTAGCCAGCTGGTTTTCGTTTTACAGGCACCTCTCATGCCCCTCCCTGACTCTCACCATAGTCCTGGACTCCCCCTGCACCCTAGCCCGGCTGGGCACCTGGTGCTGACTTACCTGCGGGTCCCCAGCTCCTCTTCGGGGCCACCTGGTGCCTGTGTCCTGGGGAGCCTTGGAGGTCGCCTCTCCTGGGGGTGTGGTCCCATCAGCATCCCATCAGCAGGCTGGGATTAGAGGGTCACAAGGAACGTCTCAGGGCCCGTGATTTCCTGTTAATCTGGCTCCCGGGAGGCCCTGCCAGGGGGCCGCAGGGGTCTGGCTGGAGCCACATCAAAGCCTTCCTTCGTGTGGTCTGCTCGGGGTTCCTGCTCAGCCACGGATCTGGGCCAGCCCCGTTCCCCCCTCCCTGCCCTCTCCCGCGTCCCAGGGGACACAGAGGCTTCCAGGAGGCACAGAGAAATGTTGAAAGTGGTTGCCGATGCCATGGCAGCTTTGAGGAACCCAGACCTGCCACCCTCTCCTCGGGCAGAGCAAGGCCTGGGGAAGTCATTGTCACCTCCACAGTGAGGATTGTAACGTAGGAATTTGGGGGAGTCACAATGAAGTGCATAACGCCACTTTGAAGGAGGTCTCGGTCAGAGCTGGGTGACGGAGTCCAACACAAAGCGGGCAGCTCAGAGCTTTTCAGAAGCGAACAGGCCACAAAGCCCTTGTCCGGGACCAGGGCTTCCTCTCGCACCATCTTCTCCTCACGGCCCTTCTCCTGCCTCTGCCCTGCCCTGCCCCATCGCAAGGCTCACATTCGCGCCTGGCTCCTCTGGCTGGAACAACAGTGCCATTGTTCAAGGACAGACGCTGCCCTCATTGGCCCGGGCACCTGTGCTAGCCACAGTGGGCTCCCAGGTCTCTGTGCCAGGCTGGAGGCAGGGAAGGATGGGGGCTGCATTTGCTGTGCCCCCCATTCTGTGCTGTGGGAGGGGCCTGAGCAGCATTATCTCACCCCTAGTCCTTCCAGATGTGAGACAGAGTATAATCCCATATATATATGTGTATGTATACAGAGTATAATCCCATATATATGTATATATACATACCTATACACATATACAAATATACACATATATGTGTGTGTATATATACACACATATATACACACACACACATATACAGCTAAGGGGTCACTGGCACCTCCAATGAGAGTGTGTGTGTGTGTGTGTGTGTGTGTGTGTATACACACACATACATAGCTGAGGGGTCACTGGTGTGTGTGTGTATATACACACATATGTATACAGCTGAGGGGTCACTGGTATACATATGTGTATATACATATGTGTATATACATATACACATATGTATACACACATATACACACATATATATACAGTTGAGGGGTCACAGTGTGTGTGTGTGTGTGTGTGTGTGTGTATACAGCTGAGGAATCACTGGCCCCTCCAATGGCACAGGGAATAAGACACCTGCCTCTGCCTTCTAGACCTTCAGATGCAAAGACCATCACTTCGCCGGACCGGTTTGGCTCAGTGGATAGAGCGTCGGCCTGCGGACTGAAAGGTCCCGGGTTCGATTCCGGACAAGGGCATGTACCTTGGTTGCGGGAACATTCCCAGTAGGGGGTGTACAGGAGGCAGCTGATCGATGATTCTCTCTCATCGATGTTTCTAACTCTCTATCCCTCTCTCTTCCAAAAATCAATAAAATGTTTTAAAAAAAAAGTCCATCACTTCATTAGTCCCCGCCCCCTGTTTCTCGGCAACCAATCACACGCCTCGCCGGGCGCGCCCAGCCCGGGTTTAACCAATCACACGCGTTGCCGGGCACGCCCAGCCCGCACTGCGCATGCTCACTCCGCGGTCCCGCGTTCGAGTTCTCACGCCGCGCCTCCCCCCCCCCCCCCGCCCTCGACGATGCGTGGGGCCGTCCGAGGGCGCCCGGCGGCTCCCCCAGCCCATCGGCCTTAGTGGTACAGCCCACCGCGGGCGCCCGCCGGCGGAAGGGCGCTGCGGGGGCGGGACCTGTTGCTCCGGGTGACGGAAGTGCGGGGGCGTGCAGTCGCGCGGGAGTTTCGGAAGCTCGCGGCGGCCTCGGGGCCGGTTCGTGTCGGCGCGGACGGGCTCGGCGCGCGGCGCGGGGCTGTGAGGACAGCAGGGCCGCGCCGGAGTCTCTGCGGCCCGGAGGGCCGAGGTGCGCAGCCTTGTCCCTTGGGTTTTCGCGGTTCCCCCCGCCCCCCGGGTTGTGGGACGCTCCTGGCCTCGCGTTCAGGGCTTCCTCCGTCGAGGTTCGGCTTCTCCGTTCCTTAATTAAATTTCCCTTCATCAACCCGCACACGGCCCCCCGAAATAGCCCAGTCGATGCTGGATGGGCTGTCGCAATCTTGGCACAATCTCTGCCTCCAGAAATTTTTTAAAAAATATATATATTTTTTTGCCGGAACCGGTTTGGCTCAATGGATAGAGCGTCGGCTTGGGGACTGAAGGGTCCCTGGTTCGATTCCAGTCAAGGGCATGTACCTTGGTTGCGGGCATATCCCCAGTAGGGGGTGTGCAGGAGGCAGCTGATCGATGACTCTCTCTCATCGATGTTTCTAACTCTCTATCTCTCTCCCTTCCTCTCTGTACAAAATCAATAAAATATATTAAAAAAAATATATATATATATATATATATTTTTTTTTATTGATATTTTACAGAGAGGAAGGGAGAGGGATAGAGAGCTAGAAACATCGATGAGAGAGAAGCATCCATCAGCTGCCTCCTGCACGCCCCCCACTGGGGATGTGCCCGCAACCAAGGCACATGCCCTTGACCAGGAATCGAACCCGGGACCCTTGAGTCCGCAGGCCACGGCTCTATCCACTGAGCCACACCGGTTCCGGCTGGCTCTGGAAATGTTAGTTGCGCTCTCATTATTTGCAGAAATGTTAGTTGCTCTCTCATTATTTGCAGAATAATTAACCTGGCATTTGAAATCTTGCATAGTTTATCTCCTAGCCTATCCTTCCAGCCTTCCTGCTCACTGCTCCCCTCTTTACACGCTGCCCTCATTGTCCCCAAATAAAGTGTCTCAGGTTCCCCTGGGCCTTCGTTGACCATAACGAACACCGTCTGTTGTTTGTTTTTGTTTTTTAAAATATATTGATTTTTTACAGAGAGGAAGAGAGAGGGACAGAGAGAAACATCAATGAGAGGGAATCATCGATCAGCTGCCTCCTGCACACCCCCCACTGGGGATGTGCCCGCAACCAAGGTCCATGCCCTTGACCGGAATCAAACCCGGGACCCTTCAGTCCCCAAGCTGACGCTCCATCCACTGAGCCAAGCAGGCTTTGGCACGAACACTGTCTGTTTATCTTGACTCCAAATGTCATCTCTAAGCTCTATTTCCAGCTTCTCTCTGCTGGGAAGATTTGAACCTATTTCTTTCTGCCGATTTGCTAATGTCTCCTACCGTTTAATTGACCTTTGCATTTGTGTGTTCTTTTATCAAGTATTACTTTATAATAGTACACATCCTTGCCTATACAGTTACAATAATTGACTATGTATTTGATATATTGTTAAATGGTTTGGTTATGGGTAGATGCTAAGAAAATAATGATAAAAATGTGGGCAAAATGATGAATCCACTTTATTAGAATAAACGTTTGTAGTAAGGACGTTCGAGGGAATTCTTGAGATGATTCTGTTTGGCTAAGAATCCCCTAGCCCAGTGGTCGGCAAACTCATCAGTCCACAGAGCCACGTATCCACAGCACAACGATGGACATTTCTTTGGAGAGCCGCATTTTTTAGTATTTTAAATATATTTTATTGATTTTTTACAGAGAGGAGGAGAGAGGGATAGAGAGCTAGAAACGTCGATGAGAGAGAAACATCAACCAGCTGCCTCCTGCACACCCCCTACTGGGGATATGCCCGCAACCAAGGTCCAGGCCCTTGACTGGAATCGAACCCGGGACCTTTCAGTCCGCAGACCGACGCTCTACTACTGAGCCAAACTGGTTTCGGCTGGAGAGCCGCATTTTTTAAATGTAAACTCCTTCTCACGCCACTTCTTCAACACAGACTCGCTCAGGCCGTGGTCTTTGTGGAAGAGCCACACTCAAGGGGCCAAAGAGCCGCACGCAGGAGGCTCGCGAGCCACAGTTTGCCAACCACGGACCTAACAGGTACGAGTTAGTCCATAGGCTGTAGCATATCCTCTGTATGATGTCCATAATACCTGTGGAACACTCAGTGAACAGATAGGGATGG